CAAAAAGGAAAAAAATATATATATCTTCTCCAAATTCTTAAGGATCAATGTTTGTGATTGAGAAAGTTAGAGTATATGTTTTTGGTGTAAGTTTGTGACAGTTAGTCAACGACGTGGTAGATTATATTCCAGAAATGCAAAAAACTGTTGTATTGTTTCCGATACACTTAACATTTCCATGTTTGATCAATTATTTAACTAAAAAATTAAACTTACCTGATTTTCAAAAGCATTTTTAAGTTAACATATAAATCTCTGTCATAAGTATACGACGCGAAATAAAACTAAACATATACGTTAATTCTCATCTGGATAAAGTGTTTTACACGAAGCAATTCAAAAATGTTTTTCAGCAACCAAGTCCTGCATTACTTCAAATATTTGACCGAGTTCAGTGGCACGAGCATTATCAGCTCGAATCTCTTTATGTAGTTGTTTTACTGCTTTATCCTTCTCTTTGATCCCTTGGAGGATTTGATCCTGCAATGCTTTGTTACTATGCCATTTGTCAAATATCTCTTTGATTTCAGCTTCGGCTTTTTCAATGGAACTCTTCATCCTGGTAGGCAATATTTGAGAAGACGGAGGGTTTGACGATAACGCATTTCCAGCCATTTGTCTGTAGAGGGAGTTTGATGCTTAATAGAGAGGGTTTGATTGTTGTAAAATTTTCTTAGACCATGTGAGGTATATATACAAATTACTGAACTGATAACTCAATACCGAGGTGACAACTCAATACTGACATGGCAAATTTTTATTAGGTATTATATGATCATGTTGTATTTTTAGTTTTGTAATATGTTATATTTATTGTTTCGTGACTAGATAAATGTAACGAAAAGTATGACTTTATACTCATATTACCGAATACGATTTTTGTAGAACTCATTAGCAAGATACATCCTAGATGTTCTATTAAGTACCTTAGGGTCGTAAGCAGGGTAACTATGAATATAATTTATATCACCAATAGCCATGATTTTTTCCATACACCAACAAGCAAAAGCGCCACAATCTCCCGAGTTTGGTGCTTGTTGAGGGACGCTGGAGATATAAACATGACTAAGCTTCCAGTCTTGAGGCACATCTTTTTCTCTATTACGTCAAAAATTGATCTTATGTAAGTATTTTGGAAGATTACAGGCCAAAAGTTTGATTCTTTGTAGACAACCAGCTAATTAAAGAGCTGAGCCTCAATCATGTTATCATATATGCATATCGCCCACATCTTTAGTTCTAGAACCGTCATAACCCAACGACATCCGTGTGGATGATTACCTAAAAAAAAATTAATGGATCATTATAGGTCAATATTTATTTGGAAATGCTTCATATATTAACTATTTATTACCTCGTCAACTAACCACCAAGGCAGATAGTATTTTTTGTGTCGCCTATCAAATTAAAATATTGTAGTCTAGGTTGTGACGTAAACTGTAATGCCTGGGACCATAATATCGTACGTCGTAACCCGTCAAGTCTCTCTTCAGCAAATGTGCCCACTTATCAACATGTTGTTAAAAGAACACTTGACTCAGAAAAACAAAATAATAACTAGTAAATAAACATTATCGTAAATAAAAAGAATAAATATTGCTTACAAATGTATCGAACCAACCGTCCTCCAACAAGGTCCTCCAATAGGGCATACCCATGGTTCACATTTGAAAGGAAGTATTTTGAATCCTTCTAGCTTATTATTTGTATATAATTTCAAGATTTCAAACTCAGTCCTCCGTTTTGGGGCCTTACGCGTAGGTGTTGAATCTGGTAACGTCATATACGAAGATCTCATCATCGGATCGGGGTGTCTGATGCGTTTCTCACGCAAAGGTGGGGTCTGCTCTGATATCATAGACGATGTAGTGTTTTCAACATAATTTTGTTCAAAATTAAAATTATGTTGATAACAATCATCATCTCCAGGGGTTGTTTTCGGTTGATAGAAATTATTTTCAAGTTCAAAGCCTTGGTTTATTTCAGGCTGTTGATATTGTTGATACTATTCGGGCTGTTGAACAATGTTGAGACTGTCCAGACACCTGAAACTATTGATTATTCAAATCATGTTGAATAATATATAAGTAAAAATTAAAATATACACCTTCATGGCATCATTTGAGCGCTGAATTTGTTCTAGTAGATTTTTATGTGCATTTGAGCAACCATTGGATTGACGGCCCCATTGTGAACAAATTCAATAATCTCTTGAATATTACGATTCAGTTGTTCAATATATTCTGTCAAATCATCAGACGATTGCGGGCTGATGAACTCGATTCACGGGTCTGTTTCTTTGTAATTCTCTGAAAATAACATCACTTTGACCTCCACCATGAACATTGTAGCTCCACGTCAGTAGGTGTTAACGTAGTACGTGGGAGCAACCCTCCTATATAATATATATTCATTTAAGCATTTAGTTACAGTTAATAAAGTAAATTATTCGAGATAAGTTGGTCAAACTCATATCCTCGATATCATCTAAGACAAATCATGTCACAATAGTTGTTTCGTGCGTTGCCAGACATATGCCCTATGGATGACTCCATCGGTCTGTAACCATAAGAAAACAAAGCATGTGGAAATGCTTCTAATATTCATGTCTACATTTTGTGTATTTTATAGTTAGTAAACAATTTAATTTAAATACAACTTTGTTATTTTAATGTTAGTAAACAATTAATTAAAAGTTACCTTTAATGCAAACACAAATCCATATATTATGTATCTGCATTTGCGTTCAGATCACGTTTTTTAATGTGAGTTTTTTCACGTTTTGGTAACTCATCATTAAGTTGAGAGTATAGGGAATCCCAATAATTATTACCCTATGGATACATGTGTAATAAAAGTATTATAGATCAGTACTATAATGTACGTAATTAACTATAAAACACAACGAAAAAAATATACCATATTTTAAAAAATATATGTTTCATGCATCCAAATTTTTGAGTAACCGTAAATACTCATCAGTGACTATATGATTCATTTGTTAATCGATAAATCCAATGGAAACCGGAAGCAAAAGACATAAGCGTACTGTATCAATGTCTGTTATTGTTCCGAATTTTTGTTGTTCAAAAACTCGGGTAAGATCACTCCTTCATACCGGACGATTTTGATCAAGGTCTAAAACCCGAGTTCTAAAGGATGGCTCTGTTATTTCTGGTAACGACACGAGACAAAATTCTTCTCGTCCAAAACGTAAAAGACGTCCTCTGATATTAAAATATAATGCCTCTTTATGGCTTTGCTCAAGTGGTGACACTTGCATTTATAACATCAAATGCACGATCATCAAATATTGATGTGTTGATCAAATATCGAGCCAATGACCGAAACAAGTATTTCTAAACATTTCTAGTATGTTTCCCGACGTTCATAATGCCCTCAAAATTGTATTTGAAATTTCAATACTTGATTTTATGTTAACAAATGTTTCATAATTATCCCCTAGTAGATATAAGATAACATGTTAGAAAAATATCATATAAAAAATATATTGTAAAAATGAGATTGTATTAAAATTAATAAATTGTAAAAAATGAGATTATATTAAAATTAATATAAGTAATATATTGTAACAATGAGATTATATTAAAATTAATATATTGTAAAAATGAGATTGTATTAAAATTAATAAATTGTAAAAAATGGGATTATATTAAAATTAATATAAGTAATATATTGTAACAATGAGATTATATTAAAATTAATACATTGTAAAAATGAAATTATATTAAAATTAATACAATGTAAAAATGAGATTATATTAAAATTAAAATAAGTAAACTTACCATGATGTAGACGATTAAATTTCGGTAATGAAGATTAAAATGTTGGTTTTGTGTTGATAATATGAAATTTGAATTGTTTATATAGTGGAGTTGAGGAGAAAAAAGATAAAATTGAATAGTTTTGTATTGGGAAGGAACAAAATAAATAATATTGTATTAGAAAGGAGCAAAATATTGGGGAAAATAATAGAACTAAGGGGTAGGTCCTTTACGCACCGCGCACCGACCGGTGCGTAAGGTTGGGGGCCACATGCCATGCACCGGTCACCTCAGTCGATCCTTATCAGCCCTCAGTTTACCAATTTTTTTATTGCAAAATGGTCCCTATACGCACAGCGTGGTGCACAATGCATAACGTAAGATTAATTTGTAAGAGTTTAAAATTTTAGGGTTAAAAGTATAATTATTTACATTTAGAAGGTTATTTCCACATCTTTGATATTTTCTTGTTGTTGGGGTTGGTTAAATCCTTTTTATTAAAAGCCAGACCAAATATTTCTATTTTTAAGATTTTCAATTTATTCTTAATAAAAAAAGCTATAAACAAATTTTTTATTTTAAAGATGTCAACATTAAATATATTATTAAAATAATAATTAATGAATAAAGATTTTTCTCTATTATCACACCAAGAATTCATTAGACTAGAAATTTTTTCCCTTGTTTTCTTTATTTAAAAATAAAATAGGGAATTTGTAACGGCAAAACAAAGAACAAAATCATCATTTTCTTTTTTTAGAGAATATATCGAAAATGCTCTAACATACACACTTTAAGTATGTCGTAAATCAATTAAAAAAAAGTATTTTATAGAAGACCCAATATTCATTCATTTCTTGAAAAAGAGAAAGAGAAAGAAAAAGAAAAAGTGATTGAATATTTGGTAACTTTAAAACCAAATCATATATATTTCATATTTATATGTACTTAGAATATTATTATATTCTTTCCCTCCTTTTCTTTTCAAACCTCTTGCACGCCTTCACATACCATACCCTTTCATCACTTTCCATTTTCTATCAATATTTTCCTTCAACTCCATCACTTTACACCCCCACCAAATCCAACCTCTCCCCCATTTAATCTCTTCATTCTTCCATTCATTACTTCCATATTCTCTCTTACCTTTTGTTTCTGTTGTTAATATGCTTCAATTCTACTTACGTTCTTCCGATTAGATTAGAGTTTAGGTTCATGGGTTACCTTTCTTGTAACGCCGAATCCGCCATTTCCACCTGCGATTCTTACACCTTCTCCAAGAACAAGAAGAAGCATCCCATCTCCAATCCACAGAATAAGCAATTTAAGATCAGGGATTTCTGTTTTGCGGATCTTAAGACGGCCACCAATGGATTCTCGCACACCAATTTCCTTGGGAAGGGAAGCCATGGTTCTGTGTACAGGGGGGTGCTTGACGATGGCGCTTTGATCGCCGCTGTTAAACGAACCACCAATCACCACACGATTGGGTTAGGACAATGTACTACCAGTATTGCAAGTCCCGCGGAGAACGAAATCGAGACGCTATCCCGGGTTAGGAGCCCCAGGTTGGTGAACTTGTTAGGGTTCGGCTCGGATCCGATTGATGGGAGGAAACTGATTGTGGTGGAATACATGCCCAACGGTTCGTTGTACGATTTGCTACACAAGAACGAAACCAGACCGCCCGGTTTAGCGAGAAGAGTGAAGATCGCGGTTCAGGTCGCGAAGGCCGTTCACCATCTGCATTCCTCCAATCCTCCGGTGATCCACCGGGATATTAAGTCGTCGAACGTTTTGTTCGACGGAAAATGGAACGCTCGGCTCGGCGATTTCGGCTTGGCTCTGAGAGGCCACGTTGAGGACGTCAAAATCCAATGCACGCCGCCGGCAGGGACGTTAGGTTACCTCGATCCGTGCTATCTTGCGCCAGGCGATCTCAGCGCCAAAAGTGACGTCTTCAGCTTCGGCATTCTTTTACTGGAGATCTTATCCGGCCGAAACGCGATTGACCTAAAATACAGTCCGCCGTCGGTGGTGGATTGGGCGGCGCCATTCATAAGATCCGGTGAATACGCCGAGATATTCGATCCGAACATTGAGATATCATCAGATAATTCCGGAGTGAGGCAGCTCGCGGTTTTGGCGGCAAGGTGTGTGAAATCGACGGCGGAGAAGCGGCCGGGAATGGCGGAGGTGGTACAGTGTTTGATCACCGCCGGTAAGCGAATAACATCTCTGGTTTTGGGACGGCGGCGCGTCAGGAGAACGCCACCGCCGTCGATTAAATATGAGCCGTTGAATGAGAGTACCGAGACGGTCAAAGCTTCGAGGGCTTCGAGTAGAAGGACCAGGAAAGTATCCGGTGCAACAAGCGTACCATTAAAGACCAAATCCAACGGTCCTGATTGCCTCAAATCTCGCCACGCGGCGAGATCTAAATCTATAGGTTCAGTCCTCGATATTAAAGCTGCACCGTTGGATTCGGGTTTGGGAAGGAGAAGAGGAGGGGGGCAAGGATTGGGTGTGAAAGGGTCTATGGTAACGATGAATAGGTCAAAGTCAACAGGTGAGTTACGAGGGACAGGATTGGTCCACAAAAGAAATGGTGGGATTGTGTTGCAAATGATTAGGAACCCTAATGTTAGAGAATTGGAATCTTCAAAATTATTGGTAAAATTCAGGTGACGTAAACAGTTCATTTGTATTATTTTTAATTTTTATATACATATTTATTCAGTGTTTCGATGTCTTAAAAAACATGTAACGGGATTATTAGTGGTTAGAAAGATCAGTTTTAAACATTTATCTATTCAGTATTTAGCTTATGTGAGACAACGACCGTAAGGTTTTATAGCATTATTGTAAAGGATAGTTTTAGGGTTATTTATCGTTAGGGAAATGATTTGCTAGTCAGGGATGTAGTTGGAAATATAGGGTATGTTTAAAATCTTTTTATCCATACAACATAAATAAAAGCAGCGGAAAAACAAAAACTTTATATAAAACGAATTCCAAAAGCCAAGATTCGATGTAGATCTGGAAGAAATTGATGTAGAAACAAGCGTCCAAGCAAAAACACTTCTATCGGTACCCACAAGAGCGACGCTAATCGAATGTTAGTCCATACTTCAATCAAAACAAAGTTTTCTTCCTCTTCTTGACTGAAATTTGATCCTTGGAAGCGTAGAGGGAGTTGGGAAAGGCGTTGTTTTTGAAGAAGAGAGGAGATTAGGTTTTAAGGGTCGGTCCAATGGTTTTGGATGCCAAAAGATGCCCGTACTCTAATGAACCAAGAGCTCAATAAGACAACAAAATAAACTCAGCGACCTTCCTTACTTTTGGTGAGGTTTGAACCTCTGACCTCCTACGAAACCAAAGACTACGATAGCGCTAGGCCAAAGGTCATTTGATTATAATAATAAGCATTTGTTTTCATTACTTAGTTATAATCTTTTTTGTTACTGATAGTTAAAATATGAAGCCATAAAACATTATATACGTTGCAAAATATTTAGTTTAGCTATTTTGGTAAAATATTTATTGTTCAAAAAAATGTGAAGTGTATTGCACATTTTTATAAAATATACGAGCGACAATTAATATTATAACGACGTCATATTATTAATAATATTTCAAGAAAATATTTGAGCGAAATATGAGATATGATGGTATCGGGGTTGATCAATAAAAATTGTTAAGATTAGTCGTGATAAGATTATTGGAAAATAATGATCAGTTTAGTTATGATTATCTAAGTTGCTTAGGAATGATATGAATTATCATGTAGGTTGCGATTTTCGAGAAAAACAACCTATCAAACGCTAACAATTCAAGGTGAGATTATGATATTTTTATGGGATATATACATGATTATTACAAAGTATTTTATCCATGATATTTGCATAATGTGTTTATATGCATATGATGGTAACTTGATTGTATTAATGTATATGATATTCAAGTATATATGCATGATATGAAAGATGATGTTGATGAGAAACATTGTGATAACTTGATAATATTATTATGATATTCAAATATGTGTATAATGTGAAAGATGACGATGATATATATGTGATTTATGTTGTAACTTGCATGAGATGTATATTGCATGTCACGAAGAGATTTGCATTAATGAGTGAGTATTGCAAATAAATGGTATGCAACTAGTATGATTCGTCCACCATACAGGGTGGGTTATACATGAAATGAGGGCTTGCAATTCCGAGGTCTTGGCCAAAGAAAAGTGACGAGTCAAGGCCTCACTTGTAAGATAATAACTAAAATACATTAAAACACTGTTTATATATGCATGTGATCATGAAACCATATTGTATTCACTAAGCTTTTAGCTTATACTATACATGTATATATCTCAGGTGCCAATTGTCATTAGACGAGTTGAATGAAGAAAGACAAGACTATATTTTGAATCATGCGTGATTAGATATCTTAATTAGCATTGATTACGTTAAAGTATTTTACGTTTCCGCAATTATGTAATGAATTGTGTTAAACACATTATGTCTGAAATTTTTTAAGTTCGTATATTTTTTCATGGCATAAATTATTAGGAATGACGTCACGACACTCAAAAAGAAAAAAAAATATGGGCGTGACAGTTGCTATTGCTTCTATCCTTTCAGTTGATTTGGTTTGTGTTCAATGTGCCATCTTCAGCTAGTTACCTTCTTAGCCTCTAACCCTTCTGTTGGTCCCGTAAGGGTCTACAAGAATAGAAACATTTTGTAGAAGGGGGG